TTCTAAACCATTCTGAAGACTGCTTTTCCAGCAAAAGTTGATAGCTGCCCTTTCTTAGATGTCACCACAAAGACCAAAGAGCATCAGACATTTGGAGAGCAATGTCACCTTCCTCTATGAGTCAGAGCTGGTGTTTAGGGTACTTCACACCACAAGGATCTTTGAAGCATTACATGAAGAACCACGAGAAGAAAAAATTGCTTTATTCCTAGAAGTTGGCATAACCTGAAGTTTAAGCACACGGCTCTAAGTTTACTGCAGAAAAACCTTGGAAAGATGTGGTCCTATCATCGAGGGGTCATTTGTCTAGCTTACTGGGGTCTCCAAGGACAAAAGTACACTGGAATGATGGGAGGGAGCTGACGGTGTTCTTCAAGTAAACAAGAAAGGTGGGAGGGAGGAAACGTGGTAAAAATTTGCAGTGATATTCCTGAATTTTGCACAGGTCTCAGCAGATCAGCGTTAGTGGAACTCTAACAGAGGTTAAAAAAGAAAAAGTTACTGCTTCCTCAGCTTTGCAGTTGCACACTGAGAGAAATGACAATACAGTATGTGCCTGCAGTGTTACTCCTATGAGAACTCATTAATATCATGGAGTCTGTTTAAGCATTTCAGCAGCAGTTGCAGTCATACAGCTCAACCAGACCCAAACAGCACTGAAGAAAGTGAGGCTTGATTTTCAACAAGCTCTGGATAACCTACACCTCCCATTGATGGCAATGAGAACTGCAGGCACTTAGAATCCCAGTCCTAAACCTTCCATTTTCTCTCCTGCAAGAACCTTAGCAGTAAGGATGTGAGGAGCACACAGACCTTTTGATTCTGTTATACCTCCTGCCTGTGACTTACACAGCAGCACGTGCAAGCTTTAGGAGAAAAACAGCTATGTGATCATCAGTTAGGGGGAATACTGAAGAGCAGCAGTGTTTATGAAATAAGACAGAATGTTTGCCCTTGGAAAAATAACGTTTAGTCTTCTGAGAAAGAGGCGAAAACATGGAATGCAATTACCTTGTGCTTCTCCTAGTCGTCTGCAAACTGTTTCTTAGAAGTGCGTATGTTGCAGTTTCCATTCTTTCCAGGTAGAGTTATGAATGTTTGGGAAATGTTTATAAATAAAGGAAAGAATGTAAGTTCTGCAAAGGACTGGGGATGGGATTATTGCCCTGTGCATCACTGTAGAGTGTATTATATAGCCAATTTGTTTCTATTGCTATAGGCATTTTTATATCTTCATATACATTTTTAAAGAATTTTATAGGTACTTAAATTCTACTGTAGTAGTGATGATACTGTGGTGGCATTGTTGATCTCTTGTATCTGTCTCTCAAATAAAAGGTTTCTCTAGTGTTCTTATTGGTTAGAAAAGCTATCTGAAAGAAAAACAGCTCAGAGGGCCGTGATCAGTGTTTGTCCTTACAGGACATAATAGTGATTATTTTTCTTCTGTTCTGAAACAGGAAATTTGCTGAACTGGTTTGCAAATCCCTCAAAAAGAGTACAGGACTATGGGTAAGGTTTGTCTTTAAAGCAGCTCCACAGAAGCCAGAATGTATATAAGGAAAGAAGCTGAATGTTACAGTCTGTTAGGATATGAATGTGAGTTTAAATGAGCAGCAAAGCCGAGCTCTCTGTGCTTTCCACATCTGGTGAGGTGACAGAAATGGTTCTTCTGAAAGAAGCAGATTGGCCATGTGGTGAACCAGGGCTGAAAGCAGTATCTGTGCTTCTATGCTATGGGCCTGCCCTGCCAGTGGAGAAATATTGGGAATGGGTTTCTGAAGCAATAGAACAGTGAGTGGTGAGGAATGTCTCACTGGTAATTTTGCTTTGAATTACTGTGTGCTACTTCTTTCACATGTGTGAATGTGGTCCTTCTACAGATAAAATGGAGATGGAAAACAGAATAACTCTGCTAACTACTATCAGCCTTTGAGGGCAGGCCTGGTGCAACTCAACACCGTTATTCATTATTTCAGTGGATAGTCTCCAAAAGCAGGAGAGAAAAGGAGGGGGAAAAAAAAGTGCTTTCTAGCTCCAAGTGCTTTTTTCTTCAAGGAGTTTGATAGGTTTGAGACACGGAGTGAGAACGAGCTTAAATCCTAGTGAAATGGGTGAGTAATAACACTGCAGACTTCAGAGGAAATGGTAGGCAACGGATTTTTTTGTACCTCTCATAGGCACTGAGAAATGGAGATTACTGCTTTTGAAAATCCAAGTATATGCAGCTTCACCAAGGACTGCACAGCAACTCTTCATCAGAGTTAAAATTAAAACGTGCAACTGCACAATCCAGGCATGTTCTGTAAGCTAGAAATGTCTGATTATCTGCAGGCCTGATCTGGTCCCTGGAACAAATTCACATAGCCCAGCAAAAACTTGTCTGAATATATAATGTAATGCAGCTCCTAGATAAAAAACATTCATATGGTCTGTCCCCTTATCTACCAAGAAATGTCACAACCCCACTTAATCGTGTGGAAGCGTAACACAGTTGTTGGGTCATCTGTTTGTTGAAGAGCACCTTCTGGATCATTTTCCTGTGTTGACCTTTTCATTCTTATAACTGTTTGATTTCCTGCCATTGTCAATGAGAGAACCTTTGTATAAGCACCCCCGGCCCTGGGATACTGCAGTCTGTATGGCTTAAGACACTGAGTAACAACTTGTTGCACCAAGTCTTTGAGGTTCCATGTATTCACACATATGTACACTGTGTGCTGAACACTGAGAGGCAAGCTGCCTACTTGTTGAGAAGGAGATATTCCTCATGGGGAAGGAAGACAAAAACAATTTGATTTTCATGAGACAAGCTAAAGTTCCGTGTACCAGTGCTCAGTAAGGAACAACAGTGCCCCTTGGCTGACAGTCAGAGCATGCTGCTTTGTTGCTTGTGATAAAGGATCCTAGCCCAATTTCTGCACCGTTAACTTGCATCTGTATCTTCAAACTGAGCAGAGTCAGGTGAATGTAGAACCTCCTTTGGATTCAGTTAAGCCATAAGTAGGTATGATGTTTATGTCTGGTACATTACTGCATCCTGAAGATCACCTTTGGAACGTGGGTTGATAAAGCAGGAGGTGTTTTTACTTTCTGTAGCCCTAACCCTGACTTACACTGTATGGGAACTGCTGAGTCACGGCCTGAACCTCTGATTGATCACCTGTGGTGAGCCCAGCATAAGGGTAAGCCTTCCATTTATTCTCTCTTGTTATCATAGTCCACTTCGCCTAACTCTCTTGTTTATTTTGTGAGTGTAACATCTTGATATCCATTGATTATACATATACTGTGTGTGCATGGGAATAAATCCACATTCAGGTTTGTGTCTCAGTTCAGTAGAGTCTGTGCACTGAATGGTAGGCTTATGGTTTAAAAGCTTATGGAAGGCTATTTACTGAATAACGAGTACAGGACCAAGCAGGAGAAAGCCCAGGCTTTAAGGGAAGCCTCTACCCTACATCAGAACGTGTAACAGTAAAACACCAGACTCTTAAGTTACTTACATACTCACTAACATGACTTTTCATAGACTTCTGCATATTACATATCAAGAACACTTAAAAAAACACAAACTTAGATTTTAGAAATAAAACAGAAGATAACAAACAAAGCATATACTAAATAAATCAATTAGCACCAACTCACCCAGAGCTGTGGTCATTTCTACAACCCAATGTCTGTCTGTTATCTAGCTGGTTAATACAGGGAGTAGTCATGGATCTCTAGTATTAAAGCTAACCATCTTGCCACTGCAAAAAGTCAAACTGGTAAATGCTGTGGGGTAAATAACAGCGGGGTTACAAGAGGAAAAAGCATCAGTCATGCAAATTTATTTGAAAGATTCAACACATTTTCTGTTCCATGTATGTATTCCATGTGATGGTACTTGAGCTTTAATGCTTAACAAGAGAGCGTTTCCTCTGTGTGCAGGCAGCTGTGGCAGAATAAGTGAGTGGGCATTACCATGGCAGCCACTGACTGATATGGATGGTCATCTCCAGATGGATTATTGTAGGATCGGGACAGTATGAAGAGGCCCAAAGGAAAAATCAACACGTGGTTGCGTTGCAAACTGTCAGTGCTAACAGTATATCACCAGGAGTTGTGTTCAGCTTACAGTATTTTCACCTAACAATCAATCCTGGGGCCTTTAGTGAGTCAAGCAGTCTTTATTGGTGTGGATAATAAGGCTATTTATAAAGTAAACTATTTCAGGATGGATTCTCTGGAATGGCAAAGAGCAGAAATGCGTCTTTACCCTTAGTAGGCATAATATAAGGAATGACAGTGCAGTATTTTTTCACACAGAGGCCACATGCGTTGGAAATGCTTAAAATTAAATCCCTGCTCACAGAAAACAAGTGCTGGAGGGATGGTTTTGTGGGAACTCTTGTGAAAATAAATAAATAAAACACAGGTGGATGGACCTGCTAGAAAAGTCATCTCAGCCTATGTGCAGTGCAGAGCAGCCCTGCAAAATCATAGAGTCATAGAGTGGCCTGGGTTGGAAAGGACCACAGTGATCATCAGTTCCAACCCCCTGCTATGTGCAGGGTCGCCAACCAGCAGACCAGGCTGCACAGAGCCACATCCAGCCTTGAATGCCTCCAGGGATGGGGCATCCACAGCCTCCTTGGGCAGAAAAAGGTGGCTGCTTGTCTCGTGGCGGCCTCGTCAAGATGTGACCACAGCAAATGGCCAGGGGCTGTTGTTTGGGGTTTTTTTTCCTCGTTTTCAGAGACCAAGGATTTTCTTGGTCCATTTAAAAAGACAAAAACCAGAAAACTAACGCGGTTGGACACCATCTGCTCCCTCCCTTCAGCCGGTTATCAATTCCCCCTGCCCCAGCCCCGGACAGATGGTGCCCATCCCCTCCCGGGCCTCCCGAGGGACGGGACACCCCGCTCCTGTGTGCAAGGGACGAGAAACGGGGGCGGTGCGGGAGGAGGCTGCGGGGGTGATGCGCGCCGTGCAGGGCCGCTCTCCCGGAGCAGAGGGCGCGGGCGGGTGCGGCTGGGTCCTCCAGCCCTCCAGAAGGAGCTGCTCGTGCCCGGGGAGCGGGGCCGGGCGGGCGTCCGCCGGGGGAAGATGGAGGCGGGCGGCCGGGAGCGGTGAGAGCCGCGGGGCGCGATGTGAGTGCCGGCGGGCAGGAGAAGGAAGGGGAGGGTGGGAGCGGGTTTTAGGAGGTGGGGTTTGGAAACCTCCTCCGCGGGCTGCCGCTTGCGATGACCCCGGGGGGAAGGAGGAGGAGGCGGAAAGGGGGGATCGGCTCGGTGAATGAATGGGCGGCGGCGGCTCCCCCGCTCCATGGCCGCTGGGCTGAGCCGCGCCGCCGCCTCCCTCTCACCGCCGCGTTTCGTGTCAGGCTCGCCCCGTTCGGAGCTCCCCAGCCATGTTCAACCAGCAGCAGTTCCAGCAGCAGCTGCTGCAGCTCCAGCACCTCCTCCAGCAGCAGCACCACCACCACCCCCCGGCGCAGCAGGGAGGCCGGTAAGCGCCGCTACGCGAGGCCGGGGATCGCGGGCCTGTCCCGAGGGAGCCGCTGTTTTCCGCCTCCGGGCGAAGCCCGGCTCCGTGCCTGCCCTCCCCTGGCGGGGAAGGCGACGAAGGGGAGCGGGGGACGGCGGGCGGGGGCGGGGGGGGTCGGACGGAGGTCCGGAGCTTTGGGGGCGATGAGGGGCGGCGGGCCGCTGTGGGGAGGCCGCGCCGCGGGGTGCTGGCAGTGCGAGCCGGCCCTGAGGCGCTGGAACGGCACGGGGCAGAGCGAAGGGATGAAGGGATGCTGCAGGCAGCCTCCCGTCGGCTCCGCTCCTTCCTTCCCCGCCCGCGGTGGGATGGCGGGGTCCCTGGATAATGGAAAATGCCCTTTTTTCTCAGAAATACACCCGTGGTTGAGCCGTGTTAAACAGGGCCTTCGCTGTTGTATTTTTTTATTTTAACGTTTATGTTACATGGACTGAACTTCTGTTTTCTTTATTTCGTATTCCCTGCTATCCCTCCCTCCTCCCCCATCTCCTGGCCAGGATGGGGTCATTGCACGCCGTACAACTGATCTGTGCTGTGGTACCACAGCTGGGGCTGGGGCTGAGTGACTGGGAGATGGCCTTTATCTCCTTTAAAAAATAAAAAAACAAATGGTGTCTGCCAGAAACGAAGAGGCAAATAAGCAGGGTTTCCTACAAAATCTACAAGGGAGAAAACAGCTGTTTCGGATGGAGCGGTCGTCCCCGATGAGCTGAGATTTATTGAACTCATAAAAATGCTCTGAAATGATGGGTTTAATTGCAGTCACTGGGCCCTGTGAAGCCTTCTGCTGTGGAAATTCACAGCAATAGGGTGTGATTTCAAGAGAAATGCAAATTTTCTGATTTAGCAAGTTTCAGAAACAGCTTTACAAAGCGTATGATTTTGAGGAAAATGAGGGAATCGTTCTGTTCTGGAAGTATTCATCTCTCTCAATCTTTTTTTTTTTTTTTTAATATCTAAAACCCTTAACGTGCCAAAAAGAGGCTGACTGAGAAGTAGCATGGAGAGCTCAGGTACCTCTCGAAGTATGATTTTTCCAGCATAAATTTCTTAGCTCTGAGTCTGGAACAATCCAACACAGCAAACATGAGGATTCGCTGCTGTAAAATCTGTTAAGAGGTTGTTATTTATTTATTTTTTTTTGTCAACACGGTTATTTTGATCCATGTTTGTACCTCTTTCCAGCCCATACGGATTTAGCTGTGTCAGCAGTCATTTTTAGAGGAGGCCCTGACCTTGCTATTGCCTGCAGAAATGATTGCCTGGAGAAACGCCTGCCGCTTCCCTCAGACTTTTGTCTCCTGCCTGCTCCACCCTCCCTGGGACCTGAGAGTCCTTTTCAGCACAATTCTTCCTCCTCGCGTTTTAAATGCGAAGGCTGTGCTTCATTTTATCGCCCTGTTCTTGCAGTTAGGGGGCACCATTTACAATTATGACCTGTTTGGTTCGATGTGGGAGGTGAAGGTTTTGGGAAACGTTCTTTAAGCTGCTGAAAACTCCCTGTTTATCCAAACTTTTGTCGTTGTTAAATGTAGCTGCTGATCTAGATCACTGGTCTCGACTGGAGACCTGCTGCATAATGCTGTAGAGCTGCAGTCACCTCCTGGGCTGTTTTTTTTGACAGCTCTGTGTGGGCTTGGTGCTAAGGAGTTCTCTCTGACCTCAAATTTCTTGATAGACAATCTGTCAGCTCTGGAAATTCCAGGAGAGTGGAAGAAAGAAGATACAGCGTTGGTGTACGGTGTCTTTTCATGCATGTATATGAGCACCTCAACTCTTCTACTCTGCTGAAAATTGGGGCTATGGTTTTGATTGGATTCTTATGAGTAATACCTTCTTTTCCAGCGGTTTGCCGCCGCCGCCGCCACCACAACAGCAACAGATGCTGAGCTTACGGGCAGCAAATCAACCATCCCTTCTCAATGCCAATCCTATGCTTCAGCGGGCCTTACTCATGCAGCAGATGCAAGGTACTGTCGTTATGGGAGACGCTTACTGCAGTTATTTAATCACTCTTCATGGGTTGAAACCAAAATATGGCTGTTTCTTCCTTAACCGTTGCAGTCCTCGCATTTGGCATTTGGGTTTGTCGTCTTTTTCCCCTTCAAATTTTGTTCGTGTTACACATTATGAAAGTTCTTCACATGATGAAAATCCCACGTGCCTTAATGCTCACAATTGAGGATAGCACTAGAAGCTACCAGAACGATACAAAATACGTGCATTGGAAAAGGATTTTCTCATAGAATTGGTGGAAAGTGTATTTTTCATCAATATATTTAGAAAAATAGTTGGTTTTTTTTCCTAAATCTGCTTGTCTCGTTTGGGGGACTTAATTTATTTCATTGACTGTTACGTACGTGCTAAACTTGTTTGCAGAAGTAGGTGCTTGTCCAGGCTTAGTGGAGTGCAGACAAATAAAGTACATTGTGGTGAAAAGTGATTTAGGTTTCAATTGTTGTGTGAAGTTTTGCTTCCCTGACATGACTGCCATTAGTATGAAGTGTGCTGTCACTGCTTTTCCATCATTACGTTTCCACGAGTTGATTTTTTGGTGCATTTTCAAAACAAATTTATGAAGCTGCCTGAATAATAGCATTGGTAACATAAGGATGTGAAAACATAGCTTTTTCCCTAATATCTTCAACTGACAGCTGCTTTCAACACAGAGGATCAGTACCTGGGATAGTTTTAAAGTGCCTGCTTTAGAGGAATGCCTTGGATTTTTGTCTTATGTGTGAATTGTGCCCATATGTGTAGACAATAGATTTATTCTGCATATTGTTACCTCGCCTTTTGTTCTCTTGCCCATTTAGTAGAGGGCTCTCTAGTGACTCCAGTGGCTCTCTGTAGATCTTTGTCAGGTTGTGGGGAAACTCACAGTAATACAAAACAAGTCATACTCTGAATATAGATCCAGATTGAAGTGCGTGTTTGTGGCAGAGGAAAGGAAGTCTGACGAGCCAGTCATTCTCCTTTCAAACACGTTGGTGTTTGCATAGCCTGGCCTTTTCTCTAAACTAAAATCTCTTATTGAGAAGTTGTATTTAATTAGCATGCCAAAGACCTCAGGCAAATGAGATATGAAAACAGGAGAAGGTTTATTAATGAGCACACGGCAGCTCTTTGATTTCGTGTTGTTCCTCTCTCTTTTCAGCTCTACATGCTGAGTTGAGTTCTGCCTTCTCTTTCAGTGACTGCACCAGCTAGCTGTGGGTGACGTGTAGTACAGATGTGTTCAGTGTGGCCCTTCTTAGCGATCTGATTTATTTATTTTTGTCATTTCAGCTTAGGGTTACATGTAAGAATATCTGATGCTTTAGTAGTTCTGAACCTGGGAGACACGGGGATGAATAATTCATTGTACATGGCTTCAGCAGTAGGAACAGGGAAAAATAAATACTTCAGTTGAAATACATTTATGATTTTTTAAAAGAAGTAAAGCAAGAGCAGGAGATGATTTCTTGCCTTATAGGTTATTTTCTTTTTAAAGACTGCTACGTGTTTTTGCAGTAAGAGATCATTTGTGCTAAGTAGTAAGAGATGAGGTTAGTTCTGAAGACAAACATGAGGGAATGCTTCCTGTTGTGTTCCAGCTTTTCAGCAGTGTCGCTTGACTTCAAATTTTGTGTGTCCATCTGCAAACTTCTCTGGCTTGTTTTAACAGCTGTTAAACAATCGGAGTATGCAGTAATTCAAGTGAGAAGTAAAAAATTGCAGTGTAAGTGCAGGTTCCCAGAATGGTGGTCAGAATCTGAGGGAGCGGCTGAGACATCTTCCATTCCCTCACCTCTGAAACGGGGTCAGTATGGACCAGCTTCATTAGGAACTCTTGAGACTTAGTAGGCTGTGGATGCTGAGAAGAGATGTTCAGAAAGCAGAGCATTATAATTGGAAATGGCAGCTTCTCAAGTGTCTGAGTTCAGGTTGACACGTAGAGCTTGTACGATAACTGGATGGCAGAGAAGACTGAAATCTCCTCTTTGAAAAGTCTGGTGTTGCTTTTGATGAAATGCTGTTGCTGGCCCATGTTAAACAGCAGCCAAGCCATGGTGTGAGCTGCCAGCTGCATAAACATGGGATGAATTTTTGTTTTTTACTGAGAAATTCTGTAAAACGATACCTTGCTTTGTTGCAAATGCAAATGCTAGTGTGCTCAGATCAGATAATTGCTCTAATGATCTTAGCCTGCAGGGACAATTATAATTACATGGCTCAATATATAGCAGTAGCTGCTATCACATCAACTCATTCAATGGGGGCTAAAAAGGCTAAAGCACAGAGCAGTCGTACAGCACCGGGGGAAGGAGGCTGCCTTGTGTGGATGCGCCCTTCCCTTCCCCTGCTGTGAGTGGGGTTTTCTCTCTCCTTTTTCTCTCCTTTGCACGCTGATGCGCTGTGTTTGCATTGTAGGAAACCTGCGTGGATTTAACATGACAGCCCCAGCACTGCAGCAGTTTTTCCCTCAGGCTACGAGGCATTCCCTCCTAGGGCCTCCCCCTGTCGGGGTCTCATTAAAGCCCACTCGCCTGGGTTTCCCCAACCTTCCCTTCCAGCGGCAGAACCGGATGTTTCGCAAGGTGAGCTCAGAGCTTCGCGCCGTTCTGCAGTTCAGTGCTGCTTTGGCACTTAGAGCAGTTGGCTGGATTGTAGGTGAAGAGCAAAGAGAAAGGAGAGAGCCTTACAATGAAAAATCAGTTTGCACCGTGCTGTTGGCAAAGAAATGGAGAAACAAGTCCATCCCTAAGGTTCCTGTTGTCTGCATTTACATTTAGGATGCAAAGATTTCTCGTCTGCATCAGGACAGATGTTTTGTCATAGCAGGACTGTTTAAACCTAAAAGAAAAGGAACCTTTGGAATTAATATCTTCAAAGTAATGACCATAAGAAAATGCTTTGCTCTTCAGAGGCCAATTTTACCCATTTAGCCTTCCAGAGCTCCTTGTTGATCTCAAAAAACTTGCTACTGTCATGGATATGTAACTCTGCCTTTTGGGGCTGCTTTTTTCCCTTTTTAAAGGTAAGGGTCATATCTGTTCATGTGGATTTCATAAAATTTAATTCTTAATGTTCTGGAGAATGTTTCAGAAACCAAACATTCCCCCCCTTCCACTATTAAGACCCGTTTGTGTCCTGAAAATGGTTCTCAGATGAATTGATCAGTGTTCCCTCCTCTCAGATTAGCATTTGCATTTCTCCTCCTGCTTTGTCAGAAAGATGTGCTGGATAAGGCAGGCTTCCACACTTGGACTGTGCCTTCTCCTGAGACTCTCTGCCTGTTGCAGGACTTCCAGAGGCTCCCTGACAGGAAGCGGGAGCTGGATGCAGGTTCTTCATCTCACATGCATGGTGATGAGAAAATGGAATTTAGAGGGGAACTGCGAGCAGGGTCAGAGCAGAACAACTCCCTGTCCACAGGTAAGAGTGAGCCTATAGTGAAACAAATGCTTCTAGACTATGAACTCCTCTAGGCTATTCCTGCAGCAAAGGCTGCAGAAGCTTTAGTCTTACCCTTCTCTCTAACTGTAAATACCAAAATTAACTGTCACAGCCCTCTGCTTGTGGTGCTTTTAAAATACCCAGGTAAAAAGTATATTTTTGGTGTTTATGAGCTTGCCCCATATCCCTTGCATGGAAGGCTCTCTGAAGGCACCCTGCCAATGAGCTTCTTGTAAGATGATGGAAATAAAACACAACTGGTTTGAAATTCAGGCTTCCACATGGCCTTGACCGTGCTGAACTGAACGTCTCACAGTCAAACACCTGAAACAGAACAGTTGCAATGAAAAGGCTGAGGAAGAGCTGACTTAAGCGAGTGCTCCAGTTGTCAGAGCAGACACTGGCACTGAATCCCATAGAATATCCCCACTTCTGTATTGTGATTGAAAAGTGCACACCCTAAGAACGCAGGCACATGGTGAGGCTGTGGCCAGTGTGTTTGTGGTGGAGAAAATTACCTGCTGGTTATTGTCTGATGGCTGTGTCACCTGGTTAATGTTGCATGGTCTGTGCTCTTGTCACCTTGGTGTAGGACAAAGACTCATTTAGTAGACACAAGCATAGATTTCTTACTGAAGCCCACCTCTTACAATCACATCTGCAATAAAATTCAAATCTCTTAGGTCATGATTAATTTATTTTACTGTTCAACCTTATCACTACAGTCCTCAAGTTCGGAATAAGCAAGTGTGTATTTTTATTTGCTGTAAAATAGTTTTATAGGCATTGGCCATTTACTGGGACCTGCTTAGGGTGGCATGGTCTGCTTTGCTAAGGAGATCTTCTGTGTTCCTGCAGAACCAAGAACTCCAGCAGAATCTCTGTTGAACACTGAGCCTGCAGCAAAAAGACTGAAGAGGTATTTATTGAATGTGGTATTGAAACAGTTCCTGGCTTTAGCATTATTGTCTAATTGCATTTTCCTGCAATGTACTGGCCTGATGTCTGGCATTTAGGAGGTATTTCAAAGGATCGTGAACAACTCAGGAAATGTGGGGATGCTTACTGAGATGTGTTTGTAGGGGTCTCTGTTAAAGGTGGCACGAAGATAGGAATGAAAAATAAAAGATACCTGTTATGCAAGCGTGCAACAAAGTAATGCTCCTGTGTTCTCCTGCCAGGATTCTCCTAAGAAGCTGAGAAAGCTTTACTGTTCTGAGCTATTTGTCTTAGTTTTCTTGCCTAAGTGCTGTAAAGGGAAATGAGCAGCCAGGTATCAGCAGAGAGGAAAGGCCTTGGGATGTGTTAGGTTACAGCAGGAGTAAGAGAACACAGGGGTTTTTTTGAGAAATGGAAAGGGAAGGGAATCCATGCTCCATAGTATTCAAGCCTACATTCAGGAGTGTCGAGTTCTGCATCCCTTCTGCAGAGATCCTCTTGCCAGTACCCCTGTGTGTTGGTGAAAAATAAACAAAAGCAATCCTATTATCTGCAAGGCAAGCTGGCCATTGCAGGCCTGTCTTGGCAGTCCCTGCATTCGAGAGGGTGCAAGAAGTAGACAAGGCTGCATTGCCATCTAGTGGGAAGGCACCTAGCAGAGCTCCTCGTGCCATCTGCACAGTGCTGTACCTCTTCCAGAACTCTCAATACTGCAGGGGGAGAACAGGAAGGAGTGAATAAAGATTTGTGGAGGCACTGATTTGAGAATTCTCCAACATATGTTAATGACTGTGAGTCAGGGCTCCTGGGTCCTCTGATCTTCCCTGTTAACAATTCACTGCGTGCTTCTGGACAAGTTTCTTCACCTCTCTGGTTTCCCATCTGTAGATTAGAGATTAATAGTTAGCTTCAGGGAGAATATTCCATGATCATTTTGATGTTTCGATATTACTTTCATGGTGTAAAACATTAAAGGGTGATAAATATTATGTGAGCAGAGACCGTTGTGAGTTATGGACTGTGAACCAGCAAGAAAGTGAATAAATTCAGTTTGGGCTAAGTCAGAGGCTTTTGAGCATGTTTTGTTAATCTGTTTGCTAAAGTTAATTTAATTTTAATTACATTAATATTTAGTAGATATTAATCAACGTCCTGTTACACGCAATAAAAGTATCAGATCTGAGGAATGGCAGATCTCACTGCTGCAAACCTGCTTCTGGGAACATCCTTTCCAAAGCAGCAGCTGAGGAGGGCCAGATTTGATTCGTGTCTTATGGCTGGGATTGAGCTGGGATATGTGACTCCTTAGCTTTTTTGAAGGGTTTGTTTACTTTTTATGAGCAGATGATGGGTCTCTGAGAAAAATAGCTTACTGTTGTACTGTTGCCTTTCACAGATGAGGATAGGTCTCCCCCACTTCGTGCCACACTTTTATTTCTTGTTTCATCATTTCATTTTCCATTGGCCAGGAATACCAGCCTCCTCCTTCGCTTCAGGTTTTTCCCACTTCTGCTTTTTCTCATATGTGCCATCTGTATGCCTGGAACAGCATCTTCATTCCAGTGTGGAAAGCACTCATCTTCAAATCCTCCTTGAACACCCATTTCTTCTAGTGCGGCCTGACAAGTATCCATATAACACCATTTCCTTCTTGGCTCCTGCTTGCAATGGCTTCTGCACCCCTAGATTGCTCCCTAGACTTTCAGTTTAAGCTGCAAACCCTTGCCCTGGAGTGCTGGCACCATCTGCGTGTGGTGAGCATTGAGCCTGCTGGCAGTACTTGACAAATAATGTTAATGCCAGCCACTCTTGTTTTCTTCATGCTTGCACTGCCCAAGCTCTGCTGCGTATTTATAGCTGTGTAACCCAGTTACATGATCACTTACCACATAATTTATCAGATTGATACTTGTGTATTTTGATCGCAGGATTCAGTACCTGCACAGTCTGGATTGTTTGTGTGCACAATGTGCTGCTCCCTGTGGGCAGAAGGATGCTGGCAGGTTGGGCATTGGGCTGGCCTGAAAGAGAAGGCATTCATTCAAACCGTGGTGAAAGTGTTACCTTTTGGGAAAAACAGAGGGTAGAGAAAGGTGTTGTAAAGTATGCTCTGTGCCCTCTGCAAGCCAGCTTTTGTTTTTCCTCGGTGATCTCCTCGGGGTCTTTTTTCTCCTTAGCAGATCAGTAGCACCAAAGCAGACAAAGCAAAATTGTTTGACGTGTGTCTCGTAGAGCTCCACTCCCCCCAAAAGCAGAGCTGTAGGGACTCTGGAATTAAACACTATTGAAACAAATAGAGCAGGCAGTTATGATGAAATCCCTGTGAAATATAATTGAGAAACTGGTCAGTTCTAACAGGTCTCTGTCCCCTCATGCACATAGCAACCTGGAGTGATGTCCAGATACTGCAGCTTCCCTGCAGGTCGCCAATCAGGAAAGGAATGAGCTCTCAGAGCTCTTGCTAAGAATATTTCCTGTATGAGCTTATTTCCCTGCAGGCCTCATGCAGAACAGGGCAGTGATTCAGAGAATCAGTTCTAACTTTCCTGTCCAGATTATTTGGCTGCTGCTTCTGAATCTGTTCTAGAATGCCATTCTCCATTGTTTTCATGTCATTTCTGCTGAATCCCTGCCTGCAATACACATCCAGTAGCTTTCTGATTTGGGGGATTTAGTGGAGAATTTGATAGCCTAGATTGCCTATGCCTGTCTTCTGAATCTCTTGGTCTGTAACATTGCAAATAAGGCTGTTTTCTTGATATCTTTTAAGTGTGACTGAAGAGTCTGCATTAGAGAATGCAGCAGGCAGCAAGGAAGAGTTGAGCACCCATGTGCAAGCTGATGGTGAGTTCCTGGGCACCATGATTTGTATTTTTATATTCCTTGCCTGAGCTGCATTTAACATTCAGCATCTCTAGATCCTGTGAGTCTTCAGAAATGTCCTCCCCCACATAAAGGGTGGGGAAAGGAGGAGAAGATGTAGGAACCAAATCCAAACATAGTCCCCTGAAAGCTGTTGCTGTTGCCTAGCAAATGCAAATGATGAGAAGAGTTTCCCCTTTAACAGAGCTTACTTGGAAACAGGTTTGTAAGCTGGGCTTATGGCCAACAGCATTGTGAGGAAAGCTCCCTGACTTCATTCACCTGCTGCTTTGTTTTTTGTTTTTTTCTCATTGCTATTCTGATTTAAGGCAGCTGAAGTGACTCTCTGTCCCCAGGTACAAATAATGTAAAGCAGTACGCAGCTGAAAGTCTCTCTAAAGAGAGGAAATTCTCTGAGGAACCGAAGGCTCCTGAGGTGAGTAGATGCTGTTCCATGCAGGCTGGGGTGGTACAGAACATAAAACCTCCCACTCCATCCCAGAGATGCCCGTTGCCACTGGGAACCAGATGGCACCCACGTCTGGAGCTCCGTCTCCTGCTGTAAGCTGTTGTCCCTAGCAATAAGGCATAATATGTCTGCAGTTATTGTGCAGTCTGCTCTGACTTGCTGCTTCTGTGCCTCTGCTAGCCTGAACCTCACTGCTGCTGCCTGCTTGTGGATGCTGGGTCTGCTAAGAGCTCAGTACTCAGATGGAAAGATGAACTGAAAGAACCATTAACAAATATCTGTATTAAAGGGACACAGCTAAAAATACACCTTTTGTTGCTGAAGAGTAGATGTAAAAAATATGGGGTGATGGTAGTAGATGTGCAGCTGCTATGGAACTTGCCATTGCAGCAGACATGAGCAGATAGTGGGAGTCTGTGCTTCTGAAAGGCATCTTGGAAAAAGTGAGACATGGGTGAAGCTAGCAACCTGAGAGCCTTCTACATGAAATATCTTGCCCACGTGCTGCATGCCAAACCAGATCTTTCGTTATTTAAATCTGCAAAAACAGATAAAGATTAACCCATTACATGAATCGGACTCAAGTCTTCCTTTGCTGGAGACATTTGTGGCTTGGTGATGTGATTAAATGTGTCATCCCGCCCTTGTAGGAGCTTCTTCCTCTGTCAGATGTGATTCTGAGCTTCCTTTTATTCTGCAGGGAAGCATGAGCTGATAGTGGCCCTTACCAAGGCACCAAACAATGTTTATCTTCAGTAAGTGGATCATACACTGTACTGAGGCTGACCATTTGTACTGCTAGGCCTGGTACTACGACACGGGGATTTCCGATCTAGCAGTGCTGGGAGAAGAAGTGTATTGTGAGAGTCTTATCAATTTCCTGTGAATTCCAGCTTAAATGCACTTTCTTAAGGAGTAGAGAGCTCAGGGCACGTCTAAAATGCAAGTATTTATTTTCAGTCTCTTCTACTTAGAGTTTTGACTTAATCTCGATTCCTTCCCGGCAGGTGTTGAGCTCTGGAGGTTCACTGAAAGTGACTATCCAGCAGAGCAGCGAGAGCAGAGCTATCAGTACAACAGCTCTGAAACCAGGGCAGTGGACCTGCGAGATGGGCACAGCTGATTCCAACCCTGAATCAGCCCTTAAATTCTACTGTTACATCTGCAAGACCAACTGCTGCAATCAGCAGGTACAAATCCACGGGTCTGACTGGGATGGATGGTCAAGAGAAGTGAATTGGAGGCCTGCTGCCACGGGGAGGTGCATCACAAGACTTGTTAGCCAGAGAAGCATTAAAAAAATAATGACAAGCATGCAGATAAAGCAAACCTCTTCTGAGGAGCTGGCAGGCAACCTGAGAACAAGTGTGGGTGGATCCCCAGGCAGCCGTGGTCTTAAGCTTTTATACCATTTCATTGTTATACAGCATTTAAGAGAATGGAAAGCGTAGCTCATGCCTATTATTCTGTATTTTGAATATCTTTAAATGGATCTTTCTCTTAACCTTTTCTTAGAATTTCCAAGCCCACATGGCTGGAATTCAGCACCAGCAGCGACTTGGGGAGATTCAGCACATGAGCAATGTTTGTTTTGTTTCTCTACTGCCTATGGTGAAGGAGCAGAAGTTGCTGGCGGAGAAAGATGGGTGAGTGTTGGTCTGAGATAGCAAACATGATCTCAGCAGGGATCTACATGAGTTCCAAAACTCTTCAGTGCACCAAGGTGCCCCTGTGCTCCAGGATAACGTACAAAATCCCTCTTGTTTCTGAGCCTTAGGCTGCTTCTGGCATCTTCCTTCCTGATAAAGGATAGTGTTGTGAACTTTGACCTGGTGTGCAGTTCTTAATCCGGTAGATCAAACTGGAGAGTTGTTTTAACTGGTGCCTTTCTGCATGAGCTATGTTCCCTATGTAAGGGGCTGGAAAATGGAAAAGATAAATCCAAGCAAGTAAAGTTAGTGATATTGAGGAAAATAATGCTGAAACAAATTGCACGTGGCAGTGTTCCATGGGGAATGTAAAAAGTTATGGCTTACAGATGCTTCTGCTGTCACTTCAGAGAGACCCAGCAGCGGTGGTGTAACACGTGTCAGATACACTTCACAGGGGATCTGATCAAACATCGCAGGACCCAGGAACACAAGGTAATAACCACAGCACAGATTTCTCCTTTGCACTGACCTCTGGTGGGGATTGAGTTTGTCCAGCATCTCCTACTTCCCCAAGCAGCAAGAGAAAGGTGATTGGAGAGATGCACGAGGCTGGTAACGCTCTCACTGAGGCACTGCCATGCTGCCTACTGCCTTTGGTCACTGGTATAAGGCTGGACTTCCAGCTGTCATGTTATGGCCTGAAGCAACTCTGGTTTAATTCTCAACTTTCTAAATAAGCATGGTCTACTGTATTTACCTAACCAACGGAATGGAGGAATTGGTGGGCAGCCTTTAAGTTTTTGAGTTAAAGTTTAGGCAGGCCACTGTATTTATTGTGTGTGTATTTGGGTCCTGGGGAAAAATTGCTAGAAAACCTTTTATAAAACACATTTGTTTTGTCATGCACATTTTCCATTGTTTTCACAGATAAGAGCCAGTGATCCCTTTCTCCTGAAAATAAGACTTTTTTTGTGGTTTGCCTGTTTTAGACACAGTTTAAACTGTTTCACCCAAGTTTAAGCTGTACTTGTTCAGAGTGGTGCCTTTTGTGGCTGACTGGGCTTCTCCTCTCTCTTCAGCTGGCCAAACGCTCACTTCGTCCTTTCTGCACTGTCTGCAGCCGCCATTTCAAGACCCCTCGCAAGTTTGTGGAGCATATGAAGTCTCCTGAGCATAAACAGAAAGCCAAAGAGGTAATGCTGCCAGAGTACAGGGCCACCCAGTGCTGGAAGCAGCTACATTGCAGATCTCATTAGCTTTCAGCTTCCCTGACTACTGCAGGGATTAAGGGAAGGCATACAGTTCTTCAAACCCTGTTTTAAGAGAAATGGTGTGAAAAAGGGTCAGGATGTGGATGTATGTGCAAGCAAGATAGATTTGTGCCTCTCTTGCAGTCCCATCTACTGCAAGATGCGGTCTGTTCAGAGCCTGGGGTCTTCTGTGTTTAGATGGAGAGTGCAGAGTTGATCTTTCTTTTCTGTACCCGTCAGGTGAGACTGGGAGAGAAGGAATTGGGCAGCCCAGAAGATTCAGAGGAGTTGATCACAGTGGATGCTGTTGGCTGTTTTGAAGATGATGAAGAGGAGGAAGAGGAGGAGGAAGAAGAGGAGGGAACTGGTGAGGGAGAAGACCTTGATGTAGTGCTGGTAGAGAATGAGGATTCTGCTGCCAAGCAGGTATGCCATGCAAATGAGGACTGATCTGTCTGAGAATCTGCTGTGGGCTTGTGTGAGTTTGGTTGTTCTTGTCTGCTTGAGCTCAGGGTTTAGAGTCTAGTGCCACCCTGCAGCAGGAGGGTGAGGGCCCTGGAGTTCTTCTTTTGCACTGTCCTGTGCTCTAGAGAATCAAACACTGTGTGGATGCAGAAGGGTATTTCTACTGTGCTACAGCTCCTACTGGTATCTTACATTACCTTGTTGTGAGGAGCATAAGCAGTGTTTTTTTTCAAGGGGAACAAATTTCTTATCAAAGACATTGACATAATCTCTTTAATAGCCCAGCAGCAGCTTGGTCTCATGGCAAATGGGTAGAGATTTATCTCGATAAATACCATTTTCCCAGTACAGAGCTGTTACCAAGAGGAGGTACACAGCTAAACTACTTCAGGCTTAGAATGTAAGGTATGCTTTTAACCCTTGCCATGAAGTGGCTTCTGACATTGGGTATCTGGCACTAGCCAGATGTTATGCAACTCCATCTCTGGTACACGAATCCTCTGTTTTACTTCAAAGTTTACCAGAAAAAGGGAAGGGAATTGACATAGATATGCTAGGCACTAATGCTCTTTTGGTTTCCAGAGTGGGCTGAAGGAAGTGTCTTTGGAGGATTACAAAGGAAGTGAGAAGTATTGCCCAGATACAGCCTATGGTAAGCAAACACAGAAGCACTAAGGCCCACAGAACTTCTCTGGCTGCGTGCCATGAGAGAGGATTGTCTCTGTCTGCTGCTGTTACAAATTCTTTGGCTCTATTGCTTCAGCATCTGCATCAGACCGTTGCAGGTCACTGCTGTGTGGAGAAGGGGCCAGGTTGTTCTCTAAGCCAATGATAAGGGATGTGGTGGATGTTTGTCAGCTGCCTTTGTCTTTGAGGAAGAAATGGCGAGAGCCAGATATCTTACCAAGGCAGGAAACAGAGCAAATGGGATAGGAGTACTGAAGAAACTAGGCAGAAAACGAGGGATGCTTTGGAAAAATGGAGCCTAAAAGCTTATTGATGAGAACACTTTCCAGCAGAAATGCAGCTTACGTGGAAATACTGAACAGTACTGATGGCATCAAGCTCTCTGCCAGAGCCCAAACTGTGCATGTTTCCTCTGCTTCAAAACCCCCACGTTCTACTTAGTGGTTATTCAGACTCGTTGCTGGACTGGTGGGCAGTGTTGCCTCCAGATGTCCCTCTTGTCTCCACCTTGTGAGTGATTCTGACTTCAGACCTCTGACGGCCACTTGTACTGTGCAGAGGGCAGCTCTGCAGAGGCTGTTTTGTGCCCAAGGAGAGAGCTGCTTACACCAATCTTCCATATCGCTGTAACCTTCCACTATCGTGTGGCAGATGGAATAATGATTCATGCTGTGAATGTTCTCTGCGTGTTCCTCTTGCGCGCCTGCTGTCTTCTGCTTGGTTTGATCCCATTACATTAGATCACATGTTCTCTGTAGTTTTCCATTGTATTCCTTTCTTTTTTTCCCCCTTAATGCTATATGTAGTTTCTTTGCTCTGGCAGCCAGATTTCTCTCTGAATATCAAGCGCACAGCCATCCCATGGTAAGACAAGATATTCAGCAAGTCATCTTGCAAACCCCTCATTAACAGAAGCAAAGCTTTCCAATTTCCTTTCTTCTTTCCTCCTTCCCTTGTTTAACTTCCCTTTTAACATACTTTCATTATTTTGAGTTCCATTCAATGTGATCTGTGATTTCCCTTCCCCTCCCGTTTCACAGGCCTGGATTTTCTGGTCCCCGTCGCAGGTTACCTCTGCAGGCTGTGTCACAAATTCTACCATAGCGACTCTGCTGCCCGGCTCGCACACTGCAAGTCCCTGATGCATTTTGAGAACTTTCAGGTTAGACCCTTTGGCGATTGCATGGCCTGGCATTTGTTACTACCCCTGTGCGTGTCTCTTCAGTGAATCCGCCACATTAGTTGTCTCGTCTTCAGTTCATTTCCATCACCCTTGGTGTCCGTTGTGTCACAGCTTTCTCCTGATGTGCTCCGTGCTTGTCTCCCATCACCCCTTTAGATCCAAAACCAGTCCAGTCCTGCTTCCCAGCTACTGCTACTGTCATCTTGTTGCCCATTTCTGGTTGGAAGTCTTCCTCAGAGTGTCTGATCTGTTTGCTGAGCCTGTAGAGTCTGCTGTTTAGCCTAAGCTTCTTTTCTTTGTTAGACAGATTACAGGTGGGTCAAAATGGGAAAGAGCAAAACAGAAAGAAGCTATTCTTTTTAAAGAGAGCTGGTGCTTATGCATCTTTCCATGCAGTACAACAGTGAGCGCAGGAACAGCTCCTTTAGCCAGCATTTCAGGTGTGATTCATCCATGAAGGAGCCTGGTAAAATCAGATATTGGAAATGTAACAACAGTGCTCTGAGATACGGAAGCTACGAGCTGAAAGAGTCCGTTTGGTCCCCAGGGTCCGCCTGCAAATGAAGTCAGTCGTTCTGTCTGCAGTGCTTTCCTAGAAACTCCTTAGCATAAATCTCTGCCAGCTGTTGCTGTTCTTTTGCTGTACTGGTTTCACCTGAAGAAGCAGCATTGCCCCTTGTTGCTTCATATTCAGAAACTTTCCCTGCTAGGCTGTCTTGGAATTTGCCTCCATCGTTCTGTCCTTGTTGGCTTGCTGGGGGTGAGGGCCTGGCTTGGCACCTTGAGCTGGGTGTGCAGGGTTTGCACTGTCTCTGCCCTCTCCTTTGCTTACCGCTGCCCATGTAGGAGAGCAGTACTCCTTCACCCTGGAAAGAGGGGAGGCTCCCATGCTGACTTTGTTACCTGCCAGCACACAAAACGTGTTTCCTGACCACAGATCCAGCCATTGTTGCATTTTAGAGTTTTCCTGCTCGTCTTTCAGACAGGTTAATTGTTCCCTATCAACCACCGTGTCCTTCAGCAAGGGTTGGGGTTGCTGCAGAAGCCAGCACTTAGGAGCTGTGGATTTGGAATGGCAAATAGCAGGAGAAGCAGCTGTTCTTTGAGGGTTGCTCATCCTCTCCTGCAGCTCGTCATTTCTGGAACGGAGGAATTGGCCTTGCAGCTTTCCTTGCTTATTTTAGATCAGCATGGAGTGACACTGCTGCAGCAGTGTGTATACCTTCTTTCTGGCCCATTTAAAAGCTGAAATCAGATACTCTTCAAATGGACACTGGAGTGACTTAGAGGAATTATTTGTGGCAGAAATCCAACCTTAAATATCTGCAGGCTAACAGCTATTCTGCTTGGCTGTGTCACAATCAGAATGAAATCATTTCCAATTTCAGAGTATTCTCATCAGAATAGACTCACAGAGGATTTCAAAGCAGAGAACTGTCTGCTGGTGAGGCAGTTCACAGCTTCACTGTGAAAACAAACTGGCATGCTTGTGCCTGGTTAAATTTGGGTGCACTGTTATTGCTTGGTTCACTGACTTTGCTCCAGTGCATTACAATATTACACATATCCCAGTATTTGAGGATATTTGGGGAAAGAACAAGCCTGTGATGATGTACTGAAGTCAGATGTAAAGCTGTCTGTCTGGTGTGCTCTAATTCCATGCTGCAGACTGCAGTAGCACTGCTTAGACAGTGGTGAAAGGCAGAGTGCCCAAAATAATTCTGTACAATTGTGAAGTCTAATGCTAGTGCCAGTCCAAGGCAGCTTTTGGCAGAAGGATGAAAGGGACGTGGTGGTAAAGGGAACTGCTGTGGAACTGCTTGTGTCATTCTCTTACTTCATACTGCGTCTGGGTCTTCAAAGAGCAGATTCCTGCTGCATGTTAGCTATGTAGCATCACTGTTTTTCTGAAATCCAGTCTTGAAAAAATGCCTGGTAGCCATTTTAATTTCCTTACAGACCTCTGCTGGTTTATCATGGTAGCTGGTGTAAACGAGTCATTTTACTGAACGTGTGCTCACCTTTATTCTGGAGATAACCTCAGCACCTTTTAAGATGAGGATACTTGAGATCTCTTAGTATTCCTGCCAGCAGCTTTGCACAGATTGTGTCAGCAGAATGAAAAATCTTAAGCTTTCAACTCAAGTCTTGCTGTGGCTGTTGAACATTAAACCACTCCTCTCCAGGTAAAGGCAGGGCACAGCCTCATGTATCCAGAGTGCGCGTCCACTGTTAGGTCCTGGCGGCAGCTGGAGTTAAGAGCTGTCCTTGTACTGTTGTATCTACGCAGTCCTCAGTCTGAGATCAACAGTTACCAGACGGGATTTTTGTCTCGGGAGCCACGCACTCAGCACAAAGTAATTACATATTTAATATCGCTGCTTTTTCTCACAGGAGCTGCCCTTTCCCTGCTTGAAAGCCTCTGCAGCCAGGCCAGGAGACCGGCTCAGGCAGGTTGTGCTCTTGCAGAGTCTAGCTGTCACTCACCATTATTTTTGTACAGGTTTTCTGGACCAGCTGCTGCTGCAGTGCCGGCATCTGGCTGGACTTGTCGCTCACAGTGGTTTGTTTGTGTTTGCAGAGATACAAGGTAGCAAGGCATCGTGCCACAGCTGCCTGTCCGGAGGCTCCTTTGCATTCCCAGGGCTCCAGCTCCCAATTGCTCGATGATCAGGAACAGCCTCCTGCTACAACAGAAGATAGCAGCAAGAAGATGAATGCCAATCATGGGCTAGACAAGGAGGGTACAGAGCTGTCAGCACTGCAAGAACAAGCTCTGAGGTCTCCAGAGGGTAAGGGCAAGCTGGCCACCTCTGTAGCAGAGAGCAAAAGCCTAGCCAGCATGACTGATGTGTGTGAAATCATGGTTGTAGAAGAAAGCCTACAGGAGAGCAGATCCACTGCCACTTGCCCGCTCCCCGAAGAGAGCAGCGCCGCAGGGGAGTTGCTGGGACATGCTGTGTGTGAGGAGGAGGAAGCCAATGCAGCCAGGCAAGGGGAAGGCACAGAGCACTGCCAGGATCCAGGGAGCGGAGGGGGGTTGGGACAGAAAGAGGCATCAAACGTAAGCCAGGAGGCAGCAGCAGAGCCCTCCTCCCTTGCCAAAAGTGAGACTGCCAGTCTTACCTCTGCTGGGTGCAGACGCTCTTCTAGGCGCAAACCCAGATAGAGTGGCCTTAAAGGGAGAGAGAGCCCTTTCCACACCATATTTGCTGGAAATGTTTATTTTCGGAGTCTTTTAATAGAGCAAAAACCTTCAACTTTACTGCTGTTTTTATTTTAAGAATAAAATAAGCCTGGCTTTAGCGTGTCTAATATGGGATGGTGTTGATTATTACTTGTATAGTTTGGATACTGCAATCATGTGGAAAGACTGCTTTGATTGTTGAACTTGAAAGAAGAATGTAATGTGATTATTTTTCTTTTTCATAGGGGATATGGTTCATGAAGTAGATGGATGCAGACATTTTTTCCCATTTTCTTCCACTACGAATACCACGTAGTTCCCCTCTGCTTCCTTCTAAGGCAGAGAAGTTTGTTTCTTGGGAGACTGTGCCCAATTCTGCTCTTCCGAATGGTTTTCTTTCAAAGATGCACACTCTGGGACCACTACTGTGTCCTAAGCTAGGCAACAACGTGCATCTTGCTCATCTGTTAATACCATAAAGCTTAATACAGTCTGTTCTCATAGTGGAGACTCTCAGGAACAAATTTTGTTTCAACTGATTTTAATAAAACAGATTTCTTATAACTTCTTCAACTTTCAAAAAAACTCCTTTAACTCTACAGAAGTAGAACAGTTCAGATTTGCTTCACAGTGCTGGCACCAGGCCATCCTGAGTTCACAGAGTTTCAAACCAGAATGCTCGTGATTACTCCTGTTAAAATACAGAGGGAGGGCTCTGCTCTCATCCCGTGGCAGGCAGAGCACCATACGGTCACCAATTCACTGGGGCAAACCAGGCTGCTCTGCCTCTCTAAGCCTGAGTCCTTAATGGCAGCTCAAGGAGTTAGGTGGCTTCTGATTCTAAGTTAAAATCATTACCTTGTAGCTCATCTTATCTGCCTGGAATGGAACAGAGAAGTCCAGTGATTTGGGACTACCTGTAATACTTACAGTGAATGTGAATAATGGGGAAGCTGTGGTTTCAAGTCAGCAGATGATCTGTGGACCCCCTCCTCCAAGTCTGTGACCAGAGCTGCCAGAGAAAGCCTGGAGTCAGGACAAGCCCTGCCTAGTGTGCTCAGTGAGGGAAGGGGCAGGAGCTGTAGCACTGCTCAGCTGGAGTCAGCAGTACAAAACACCATGATCATTTTTCTACTTTGTGAAGAGAGCTTCCTTGCAAACAACCTGCACAGCCTGAGGCTTTCTGCAACCACTTCAGCCACGTCACGTGGCCATGCTTGCATTAATGCTGGAAGCAAAGAGAGCCACGTCTCCTACACCCACTTGAGTGCACCTATCACACAGCTAAGGAAATCAGAACATGGAGGTGAATGGCTGGGCACTGCCACAGGAAGGATTATGTAACGGGGAGGAGGTAACTCTTCAATTTTTGATAAACAGTGACCAGTAAATGTCCCCTTAGCAACCAAGCTTGTGGCCAGTGCGCTAGACAGGAGGCTGTGGCCCCTGCACGTCAGCTCCCATGCTGTGCTGCTCGCTCTGCTGCTGGAACTCCAGGCGGGTCTGGCGGTTTGACTCCAGCAGTTCCTTCAGGCAGGCATGGAGGTGATCGTTCTTCTCTTCCAGATGATCCAAGCAGGAGCTGATCTGGTCCAGCATGGAGTTTATTGCTGCATATTCTAAAAGCAAGAGAAATAAGAGGTTGTTCAATGCAAGTCAGTGAAGGCTCTTGGAGAACATGCCCACAGCATTTTGGCTGTCTCTTACCTGCCACCATGTGGGTAAAGTAAAATGCAACAGAATGCTGCAGGTATTGAATTCACTTGTCAAGTGAGACCAATGGGAAGCTGGAGAACTGGTAACAAGATCTAAGGCAAGTTACCAGGGGGCAACACACTCATTTTGGGCAGCCTGAAAGCCTTTGGTCACCTATGTAAATAGCTGACCTTGGGCTGATCACCAGTATGCAGTGGTGCAAGTATCAACAGTGCCAAATCCCAAGGGCAAGTCAGCGGTTAGAGCTGCCTTAGGGATCAGCTTTCCTGATGAGGATGCAGGCATTCTAGCAGTGTGTCCAAGCATTTACACTCTGTGAATTACGTGTCTAAGGCTCCCAGGCTGCGATGTGACTCAGGAATGCCTTCCTGGGTTCAGATTACCAATGCAGCACAGTTACTGTGCCCACACCCTTTCCAAGGGAGGTGTGAAGCACCGAGTCCAACTACAGTGTTTTTGTGCACCGTTAAGACTTTGGGTAATGTGAGTTAAAACCAAACTAATTCAAAACAATCCTGATAGCTTTCCTAGTTGATGGTTTTCCTAGTTGATGTTGTATTTAAAGAATCTGTTTCAAGTGTTAGCTGCAGTACAATGGCATTTCACAGTGATGTGGATCAGCACTGTTAATCCCCGTGATGTATTGGAGGGCCCAGGCAGAGCAGTGCTGTGCTCCTTCCTGAAGTAGCACGGGCTGGCAGAGTGCAGGGAGGCAGGGGCTGAACCCAGTGAGGATGGTGGGCAGGGGATTGGGAGACAGCACCGCATGCTGGCTCTCCCCTTTGAGAGGGCATCGAGCCAGGCACGGCACAGCGCTGAGGGATGAGGAGGAGGTGCTCATTTCACTCCTATGGGTGATGTGGGGGCTGCACCAAAATCACTCAGCCCATCTTTGTCCCACTCGGTTGCTACCCTGGTAATATGTATGTAATGTATGGAAGTTTAACCAAGAGATACTGGCTGCGAGCAAAGCAATCACGCCGCTTACTCCTCTGACAAGAAAGGTGGCAAGAAATAATGTTTCCTATTTGAGGTCAGGGAAAGCGATCCACGGCCTCAGCTCAGCTCACCCAAGCAATGCCCACAGCTCCAGCAGGCAGCCCCAGCTGCAGAACAGATAACAGCTTCATGGAGACCCACAGCACAGATCCCCGCGGGGTGACGCTGAGCAGCGACCGCAGCCTCGAGGCCGGGTTTGGCCCCCGCTGAGCCCAACGCCCGTTTTCCCCCAGGCCTCCTACGACAGCCCCGCCCCGCAAGGGGAACCGCAGCGGACCCGTCGGCACGGGGGTTCCGGTGAGCACGGAGGGCCGCGCTGCCCGCACGCACCTTCCTCCCCGAAGCCGTCCCCGTCCTCGTCGCCGCCGTCCCGCCCGGCGGGGCCCAGCGTCACGTGCGGATCACCGTTAGGCCCCGACATCGCCGCCGCCGCCCTGCCGAGCGCCGGGCTGCCGGGGGGCGGGGCGTCCGGGGGCGCCGCCGGCCAATGGGGTGACGCGGGGCAGCGCGCGCGTCACGTGAAGCCTGGAGGCTGCGCGTAAAGTCTGTGGTTACCGGGCATGGGGCGCGGGCAGTGCCGGCCGTTTGGTGTGAGGGCTCTGAGGCTGCAGCTGCGCCTTTGCTGTCGAGCTCCGGGCCGCAGCTGAGCACCGTGGCGCCGGTTCTGCGCAGTCTGAGGCGGTTCGTGCCGCCTTGGGGTCACCTTCACGTTTCTGCTGCAAAGGATGAAGGCAGCGCGCCGCCTCTCCTCGTTCTTGGTTCGCTAACGGCCGTCCGTTACCCGCCGTGCGGGAACCCGAGCGCCCTAGAACCGTTCCGTCCCCGGGAGGGACGTGACTGAGACAGGAATAACGCGCCGTGAGCGCGCTGCGTTAGGTGGCTTAAAGCTCTGTGGTTTAGCCGATATTTGGGGCGAAGAAAGAGGTTATGTCCCATTTCACACCGCACGAGGCCGCCTTCCTTTCTTTCAGACTGAAGCACCGCCGCCAGCGAGCCGAGCCGCATCGCTGCGGCACCGACCGCTCAGCGCGGCCGCCATTTTGGGGCGTGGAGCCGCCGCGGCCGCCCCGCCCCGCCGCTCTGCGCCTCCCGCCCCCGTGCCAGCAAGATGGCGGCTGCCGGCAGGGCTTGGCGGTTCGCAGCGCTGCTGCCGTCCTTGCGGCTGCGGGTCCCGTGCCGTTCGTTGTACGGCGCGGCGCGGGGCGCTGCTGCTGCTGCCGGCGGCGGCCGCCTGCTGCTGGGCACTGCCTTCGCGCTGGGCGGCGGTGCCGGTCTGTGCCTGGCGGCGCGGCAGCGCCTGAGGGAGCACTCGGCCGCGGAGGTAACGCGGCGCCAGGCCCGGCGGGGGAAGGGGTGGCTGGGGAGACGCGGGGCGGGTCTTCCGTCTCCGTGGAGCGCGCGGCTGCCGGTGGCCCGTTTTCGATCGAGAAACGGCTTAAAATGACTTGAAAGAAACCGCAGCCGCGTTTCTCTGGAGGAACTGTAGGAAACGGCTGTCGGAAAGCCGGGGCTCGCTGTGTTTCCGGTGCCCGCTGAGGGCCGCGCAGCCAAACGCACCGCAAATGAGAAGCGAGCCGCGAGGATGCGTTGTTTTATAACGTGTGGCACCGCTGGCGCGGGCTGCCGGAGCCGCGCGGGAAGCGGCGCTTCGTGTCTGCGCTGCCCCGTGCCTCCCTCGGTTCATCCCGGGGCTCTGAATGCAGGCCGGTGTGTCTGAAAGCTTCGTGCAGCTGTCGGCTCTGAGCCTCTGCCGTCGGTCGAGGTGCAGCGCGGCTTCCCCTCACTGCACGGCGACCAACAGCAAAGTCTCTTCCTGCACCCCCGCCCCACGGTTCCATGGAGGGTATGGAGCACCAGATTGTGTGCAGAAGAGTCTGCTGTGTGCATCTCACTTCTGTTTTTTGGCTGTGAATAGGAATAGGAGTTTCCAGCAGGTTGAGTAGATGTTGAGGGAAAAAAAAAACAACAGTTATTCATCGTGTGAGGTGAATGTTAGTGATACTGTTTAAAGGAAGCCTTTTTGAACTGATATACACTGATTATCAGGTGTTGCAAATCAGTGACTATGAGTTTATAACAAAAATAAGGGTGAAATAAAGATAACGTTTACACTTTTTAGTAGAAAGCAAGAGCTTTTGGTCTTTTTTCTTCCCCAGCTGCCTGCAGGGAACCTGCAGCTTACCCTCTACCAATATAAAACCTGTCCTTTCTGCAGTAAAGTCCGAGCTTTTCTGGATTATCATGGGCTGCCTTATGAAATTGTGGAAGTAAACCCAATAATGAGGAAAGAGATCAAATTCTCCTCCTACAGAAAGGTGCCTATCCTGTTAGCTGATGCTGGAAGCCCTCTGGTAAGTTACTATGGGAAACTTCGATAGGGAAATCTGTATCTCTGGCTTTTCACACGTTGTGTAATCTTAAAATCATGTTGTATTCTTTTAAGGCTAAGGTTTGTTCCTTGTGTTGTATCCTCTGCCACGGCCTTGTGAGAGGTGTTTTCAGTCTCTCTTTGTAGACGTGTTGTTTTATGTAGTGACCCTGTAGTCCAGTGATTACCTGGCTTCTCTCAGCCCTTAAGCAGGACACACATTTCATGTCAGAGACAAAAAGGTCTGCTTACGTTTTGTGGAAAGAGATCACTCCTGATTCAACTCTGTGGCTTTTTAGTATCAGTATTGCTTTTTCTGCTTTGTTGCTGCAAAATGCTTCAATCCAAAACCAAAATGGTATTGCCTGTGGACCCATGCCTCGAGTCCTCTGTTATCAGAATGGAAGACAGATATGAAATGTGTGTGGGAGCTGCTGAGTCACAGCCTGAACCTCTGACTGAGCACCTGGGGAAAGGACCCGGTCAGTCC